CCGCGGGGTGGCCTGGAGGTGGAGAACTGGCTGGCCATAGGCTAGGTACCGAGTTCGAATCCCCTCGGCGCTTCGTGCAAGCCTTAAGTGTTGGCCCAAATTATAATATATTAACTGTTTCTAAAATTTGTCCAAAATTAATTCAATACAGCTGTTACAATAAGATGGTCTATCAGTTTAATTCTAGAAAACTGATTAGAAATACCATTACAAAAAAATCTTATTTTTCCGGTGGATTTGCGATGGAGAAAACCCACCAGTAAAACGTGTGCAGGAAACCTAATTTCGATGGGTTTTTTTCGCTAATAATTTTTTCCAGGGGTGGATTCCAATGGATGTGATGTTGGAAGAAGGCAATGCTAGAAGCGGCAGAATGAAGCAAAATGACATCGAAAATATCCAACGGTTTTTTCAGCGGAACATAAGCAGGAAATTTTCGGTTAATCATCTGATGGAAAATTTCGTCAGAAATTTCTAGTGGAAATTTTAATCTATGTTTCGATCATTTTGCCCGTTTGTTCTTATCAATGATTTCCAAGGGAATTTACTCTAGAAATCCATTGAAAATCTGTAGCATTCTAAAAAAAATCAGCCATTCATTATTTCACTAAAACAATTAATACAGTTCCTAGTACAATAGCTTATACAACCATATAACAAAAAATATTTCATCATCATATGACATTGATAATAAAAATATTCAAACACAAAATTTAAAATGTAATAGTTGTAAACAAAAAGCCAGTCTTCCACATATTCAGAATAAATTCTCCAAATATCTTTAACAAATTAAAAGAATTAGTTATCTGATAATCTTCGGTCTTTTTGCTCCCCTCATATTCAGGCTCAAGCTGTTGATCCTTTTTTTTTTATTTTGGATTAGGTACGATCACAACTCTGCATGAATCTTAGATTATTTTATCAGTATGTTTGAATGTATCTGTCCCATCTTCTCTATCTCTTTAGTGAGAGAAGCCACCCTCTGGCTGACAATATCCTCAACTCCATCATCAACAAATGATATTAAGGTGGATAGATTTGTCTCATATGCATATGCCTATTATTAAATCTATCCATACACCCTCCCCTTTTGTCTCACTCCAACAAACTGTGACCTCAAATATATTTTAGAATATGAGAACTAGTTAGGATTAAAATAATTAAAGGTATGTTGATTTAAACACATATTATACATTTCAAAAGGATATATCCAGTGATTTTGCACAGGACCTCCAACTCTTGCCTTATAAGGTAGATGGACCGGAAGGTATTCCATAGAATCAAAGAAACTAGGAGAATTTTTTTTCTAGCTTGCATAAAATAAATGATATATTTAATTTGCTCACTCTTCTGTAAAGCATATTCGCTTAGTTTAGATGAACGCAAATCTTTGAAAAAAATATTAAGCTCCATCAACATATTTTATATGTAATCTGATATGAAACATAATATAATTAGAAGTAGAATTATAATAATGTCACAGTTATGACTTTTCAGTCCAAATAATGTTGAAGACATATTGTCCACGTACACATCAGCTTAAGTTTGATCCATATCCATCATGCATTTTCAAACTTTGAAATTTGTGACATATTGATCATTTTTGTTTTAATGTGAATGAGGAAGATGCTTTGGGCTTCATTATTCTTCCGTCGCTATTCGTTATCAGTTAATTTTTTTTTCTTTTACAATGTACGTCAATGTTGATTCTAGCCTTCATATTATCTTTAATTTACTTTAACATTCATGATCCTATTGAAAATACTATTGAATATACTATTTTTGATGATAATAACATCCATATCATGCTTGATGAAATTTGTACTTCGTATAGTAATGTCTAGAAAAAATTATTTTTGTCCAATTATATTGAATGCCATATCTAGAGAATTTAAACTCTGATAAGGTATGAAAATTAATAATTGATGGTATGTTAGAAAGTCTTACTAGCATATTTGCACCAGTTAATCAAGATGTTGGAAGTGGCCTCTCAATTCTATTTTTAAAAAATGCATCTTTATTTCATCTAAATGAATGATCCAAAGGTAAAAACATACGATGATAATTAAACCAGATGGGGTTAATCCTTATGGTGATGGTGATGCCTTTTTGGATGGTTGAATTTCTCTATCTTTTAGAACAAAAGCTATGAGATATTTGATCCTTTTAACTCTAATACAAAATGATGAGGATTTGTTAATAGGTTTCATGAGTAGTTCTAGTGAAGGTGGAAAATTTATAATTGGTTGAATGCCAAGGTAAAATACTGATAAGTTTGTCTTTTTTGATAGATTTGGTATGTTAGTAGAGATGTAGTGGAATAAGAAATAAAAGAATAATTTATGGTTTATGCATCTTAATTGTAGTTGATTCATAAATTAATAATAATAAAAAAAAATAGTAGCACCAATTTATAATTTTGTTCCTTCAATTAATAAAAATGAAAATTATATAAGAATATTAACTAAAAAGTTATATAATAATATTATATAAGAATATTAATTTTTTCCTTCAATTAAAAAAATAATATATTTTTTTTTTCTTTCAATTAATAGATGTTATCTCCTTCATATATCACATCAAGATAAAGATTTCAAAAAAAAAAAAAACATCAAGATAAAGATGGTGCTTTTGTGTCATACTTCTTTATGTCCATTTGTTCGAGTCGACGTTGGAACTTGGACACATGTGGGCGTCTTACAGGGAACAGAGCTCTTTGGTTATGTCGATGGAGCCTAAATTGCCTTTTTTCATATGCTCGTTTGGCGTTCGGTTGGAGATGACCTAAGGAGCCATTTAGTTTTCTTTATTAATAATTCATATGAGTTATTTCATTTTATTATTGGTTAAAATATTATAATAAATGTTATTTTTATAACAATTTTTAAATAATATAAAATAATAATAGTAAGAGGAGATTTACATACATATCACTTGAATTATTATTATTTTTATATTTTCATCTAAATTTTACTATTTACGTCATTTTAGTACTTTATTAGCTGTGTTATTTCTCCCTTCAACTCAATGTTCCTGATTCATTGAAGTTTTCTCCCTTCAACTCAATATATGTAAGGAGCCAACTTATTTATTAAAAAAGAGGGGAAATAATTATCATTCAAGTATTTTTTTTTTGTAAAAAGATTAAAAATGAGTGCTAAATAATAAGAAATCACTTTTAACAATTTTCTCCTTTAGCACTCTAATTCTAATAAAATTTAAATGCATTTTATACTAATATTTATTAAACTGGATGGCAAAATGAGTTAACAAGTCAAGTCAAAGTTAGCTCAAAGTTAGTTTGTTAACTCATCAAATTTGACTCACGAGACTATTTATCAAGTTGAGCTTGAGCTAGCTCAAGTGTTGATTTAGGGTTCGTTTGGGACAGCTTTTTTACTGCTTCTTAAAACAGTTTTTTTTGTAAAAAAAAAATAAATTTTGTATTAAAAAACTACTTTAAAAAGCAGTAAAAAAGCGGTTTGAAATGAAGCCTTAACTCAATTACACTGCTAGGTGCACGCACCAAAAGAAATATTTGTATAAAACTTTGTTATAGGTACATCTATTGAGAAAATAATAATAATTTTGAAATCTTAATAAAAATTAGGCTAAAAAAAAGGTTATATCTTATACATTCAAAAGAGCTCAATACATATAAAGTTTGACAAGATGGCTAGCTAGCTAAATTCAAAAGAATCAACAATCTATTTATATTAAAGAAGGTGAAGTTAATAACCATTAGAAAGGTGGTAGTATGAATTAAACATAATCTTTATTAATACTAATAAACTTACATTAACAATAGCTTATCATTAATGTACACTAATAAAATATAACTGTTCAATATTACAAAAGATGTCATATGTGGTCTTCTAAACATCACTATAATAAAAAACCTATTTAAAAATAAGTATATTTTTGCAAATGCAAATATTATGACATATATAAAGTCAAATTTTGCCATTTAATTTCTCAGCCTTTAAAAAAAATATTTAGATTAAAAAATATAAATATTGCCATAAGTAGGGGTGTCAATATTGGACACGACCCGAAAATTCGATACGAACCCGACACGGAACTTTCGGGTTCGGGTTGACCCGAACCTGATCCGGGTCAGGTTCGGTTAGAGTTTTCGACCCATTTTAGAAATTGGGTAGGGTTTGGGTTGACCCGGAAACCCGTAAATGACCCGGATTAACTCGCTGACCGAGGTGCTCTGTTGACCATCGCTGCCTGTGACCAATCCAGCGTGGTCGCGTGACCCCGATGGCGCTTGACCCCTGACTAAGCTGCGCAACCGCGTGACCGAGGCCTGCCCTGCTATGGCGCTATGTCCTGAGGTTCACCGTCCGTGTGACTAGCGTGAGGCGTGACCAAGTCCGTGTGGTGCTGTGTCCCGAGGTCCGTCGTCCGCGCCACGTGACCGTGTCCAGGCCTGCGTGCGGGCTAGCCTAGCTTGCCACGTCCAGCCAAGAAGCCATCCAGGTCCACATCATCACGTCCCCGCGTCCCCACATCGGCCCGCGTCCAACCATCTAGGTCCCGCGTCCAACCATCTAGGTCTGCACCCGCGCCCATGTCCGGCACCCGGTTTCGGGTCGTGTCGGGTTGACCCAAACCAGAAGCTGGTCGAGTTCGGGTCCTGAAAACCGACCCGTTTGTAAAAATGAGTCGGGTTCGGGTTGACCCGAACAGTAACAGGTCAATTCTGGGTTCGACCCGAATCCGACTCGTGACCCGAAATTGACACCCCTAGCCATAAGATACAAACCGAATAGAGAACAAGAATTTCTTAAAATAAGGAGCTAATTTATAATAAATCATTTATAACTAATTTATGTCCTTCAACTTTGCATATTAAAAACATGTTTATCAGTTTATATATATATATATATATATATATATGTGTGTGTGTGTGTGTGTGTGTGTGAATAGGCTAAAATGCACTTCCCTTCTCCTATAAAAACATTAGAGCCACCCCATCGACTATCAAACAACCCAGCGGCACCCCTTCAGCAACCGAGTCATATTCCAGTGTTCTTAGGCCCTTCTTCCTTCAGTCTCAGATCCTCAATGGAGTTCTCCAAGAGCATGCTCCCATCTCTTTTCCTCCTAGTCCTCCTCCTCCTCGCTTCTGGTAATTTCAGTTCTCTTTCTCTCGAACTTGTCCTTATCTGATATTGAGAAAAACATAAATGGCTAAGACAAAAATCTCTATTATATGAGCTTATCACCCAAAACTACCAAAGAGAGAAATATATTTGGTACTATATGATTGTCTACAGAATACTTACACAGTGCTGTATATATCTCAAGGGATTGGATCTGAGATGATGAAGGCCGAGGCAGCGCGGCCGGCCGGACTTCCTGGTGTCGGTGAAGAGAAGAGAACTTGTGAGTCAAAGAGCCACAGCTTCAAGGGTCTGTGCTTCAGCGCCAGCAACTGCGGCCATGTGTGTAGGACTGAGGGCTTCCAGTTCGGAAATTGCAGGGGATTACGCCGTCGCTGCTACTGCACAAAGCATTGCTGATTTCAAGATGGATGATCTCAACTGTGGTTTGCTTCGAGAAATAATTATGAGCTGTTCTTCTATGGCTGGAATGACTAGTTTGTAGCTTTAGCTAATGTTATTACTTTCTTGTTCAAGTGTGTGCTCGGTGTGATGGAGTTTCACTGCTTATCTTTTGTAATTTGAAGATTTGTCTATCAATTAAAAGGTTTTAAGTTTGAGTTTTATTTATCTATGTGATGTGTATGTGAGTTTATGTTAATCAAATTAAGTGTGTCAAAAGAAAAAATATATATATATATAAATGCTTTGCTAATTTCATTGTTTGGCCTAAGATTTTGTTGAGATTCTTTTTTTTTTTTTTTTGACATTTAGGTCATTTAAGATAAACTCACACACACAAAATGTACACATATTTAACCAAAGACCTTTTAGTTGAAAGTCTAAGCTCTCAATCAACAGCACAATGTGAGTTGTGTATTAATTTTTTTCTAGTTGTATTTTTTAGTTAGAGAACTTTTAAAATGGAACCTTTTTAATATTTTATTAATAGAAAATGGGAGGAAAATTTTTGAATTTTTTTATTTTAATATAAGTCATCACTATCTTAAGATTCTTTTGGGGCAACTTTTTATTACTTTTAAAATTTATTTTTATATAAAAATTCTTAAAAGTGATAAATAAAATAATGATCAAAAGATATCCAATCGAAACCTTACACACATTTGCTAATTAAAAATTAAAAATTATCTTCTTTTAAAATATTGCAAATTTTATTTTAAGTTTTTTTTTTTTTAAGTTTATATTCTGATGTGGTTAGATCGTCGAAAGAATCGGATCTGCTTGAAGGAATTTATCCCACTCCAGGGAACAAGAAAAACAAAGCTTAAAAGCTTTAAGGAGAAATATATTTCATCAATAATATCCCATTCCCTTATTGCCCGAATGTTTTTGTCTATTCGATCATTATAGAAGGCTATACGGCTTCTATCATCGTCGATAGCTCCCCTTTGTTGGTGTCGATGGTCACCGACCACCGTTCTTATTCTTCGACTTCGATCGCCGTCGACAGCCGGCCTTTTTCTGTAGTCCATCGATCTTCACAAGCTTCAGGGATCAGATACCAACTAATGTGGTTGGATCGTCGGAAGAATCAGACCTGCTTGAAGGATTTGATCCCACTCCATAGAACATTAAATGTATGCTAGTCCTTAAGCTTAATAATAGCTATGATGTTCCTACTTCATATTCCTTCATTGTTATTGTTTCCTTTTGACCTTTCACATGTAACAAAATTTGGGTTAAATTTTAAAATAGCCTCTCGAATACTCGTATATGTTCATTTTAATCCTAGAGTATAATATTACTTCAAATTACTCTCTCAATTATATAAAATTGATTCAAACTGACCCATTTGGAAATAAATTGGGATCAATTTTGTAAAGTCAATGAATTAAATTGATATCAAATTTATAACATAATTAAAGCATGAGGAACTATTTTAGAGTAATTTTGTATAGCCAAGTGATTAAATTGGGGCAATATGATACTCTAGGATTAATGCTTCGTTTGAGACGACTTTGTTATTGTTTCTTAAAACAGAATTTTAGTGTAAATTTTTTAAATTTTGTACTAAAATTTTATTTTAAAAATAATTAAAAAGAAGTCCCAAAAGAAGCCTAAATTGATCTTATATGAATATTTCAGAGGTGTTATAATGGTAACATGGATAGCTTTTCGGATGGTCATTATGTCCTCCTTGCGACTAATCCTAAAACACTTATAAGGGATTTGATTAGTGATAATTGCTGGAGCCTGCCTAATGACATTCCTGTGAATGTGAAGCTTGCAATTCTAGATATTCCTATTTATTCACATTCCAGTTCTTGCTTAATATGGGATAATCTTAAACATAGCAGGTTTTCTGATTACATTAATGCTTTTCACTAAAATTTGCCATACTATTCCTGGTACAAGTTAATTTGGCACAAGAGCTATGCGTTGTGATATTCTGCCATCACATGGCTGGCTCTTGTCGGTGGTTTAAAAACTTATGAAGCTCTGCAGATCCGCAATATACATGTTCCGAACTCATGCTCTCTCTGTCATGTTTTTCCTGAGAGTACTTCCCATTTATTCTTCGAATGCTCCTTCTCGTATGATATATTGATAAATATAATGCCTTATGCAAGGCATTTGCTACTCAGACCTAGCATCTTGCAGTTACTGGAATGGATAACGGATGATCCCGACACTGCGCAGCATACAAAAAAACTTTACTCTATTATCTATTGCTGTAGTATTTACTATATTTGGAAAGAGAGAAATTCGAGAAGATTTGCAAATATTTCCAACAGCAGTTCCACTTCTACTCTTTGCATTAAAAACGCTGTTAATCATAAGATTAGTAAGTGGAATGATAGATTTATCTCCTACATCTAGTTGCTGTTTTTGTTGGGGTGTCCCTCCTATTTTACTGCAGGTATATCATGGATTATGGACTATGTCTAGGCCCTATCTTGATTCTATCGAGTACGTTGGAGGTTGCTATGAGGATAGGTGTTTCTTTTCTGCCTGCTGTGCCGATATTGCAACACCTGGTCAATGATGAAGCTCCTAAGTAGGCCCCCTTAGGATGGTCTTCGAGCAACCAAGGGGAATCACTACAGGAAAAATGCCCATTACCGGCGGTTCTAACCGGCGGTTCATGGACCGCTGGTGTTACCGGCGGTGTGACTGCCGGCTTTTAACAGCGGCCTAACCGATGATTTTGCTACGTTAAGCCGCCGGTACTAGCGGCGGTACCTAAACCGACGTTAAACCGCCGGACATCAATATGAACCGGCGGTTTACCAGCGGCTTGGACCGCCGTTGATAAGTGATTTTTTGTCCAGACCGCCGGAAAGCCGCCGGTAGAAGCCCTAATACGACCATACCCGCGCCTCGCATTTTATTTTTACTCTTTCCTTCTCTCTCTCGGTCGCTCTGCTGTCGCCTACGCTCTCCTTCGCTCATCTGACCGCCACTGACGAATCTACTCCGACCGCCGACCCCAATCCGACCGCCGCCGACGAAGCTTCTCCGACCGCCGACGGTTAAACTCCGACACCGCCGACCT